TGGGCCATTTTGTCACACCGGAGGGCATCAGTCCGCTATCGAACAAGATTCAGGCCGTCCAAGAGTGGTCGGAGCCTCGGAACGTCACGGATGTCCGCTCATTCCTCGGTCTTACCGGATACTATCAGCGCTTCATCAAAGGCTACCCCAATATCGCGGCCCACTTGAACAAGCTTCAGTGCGAGGATCGGCCGTTTGACTTTGGAGAGGCGGCGCGGAGATCATTCCTCGCTCTCAAAGCCGCGCTATTGTCTGCGGAGGTCTTGCGGATATACGACCCGCTCGCGCCTACACGTGTCACTACGGATGCGTCAGGCTATGGCATTGGTGCAGTCCTCGAGCAACATGATGGTGTGGACTGGCACCCGGTCGAGTACTTCAGCAAGAAAGTGCCACTCGTGCATTCCATTGACGATGCACGCAAGAAGGAGCTCCTCGTCTTCGTCCACGCGCTCAAGAGGTGGCGGCACTTCCTCCTTGGTCGAAGCCAATTTCGCTGGGTAACGGACAACAATCCGTTGGTCTTCTACAAGAACCAAGACACCGTCAACAACACCATCGCTCGATGGATGGCTTTCATCGACCAGTTCAACTTCTTCCCCGATCACATTCCCGGGAAGTCGAACCGTTTTGCGGATGCTCTTTCACGGCATCCGGATCATTGTACCGCAGTCTACTCAACCTTCGAGATCGACAATGACCTGCGGAACAACTTCATCCGCGGCTACCAAGCCGACCCCGAGTTTCACGACAAGTACGTGAATTGCTCCTCCTAATCCGGCGCCTTCTCACTACCGGATCCAAGAGGGGTACTTGCTTGTCCACACGTGGGGGAAGGACCTCCTTTGCGTACCGAGTGATCCTCACTTGCGTACACAGCTTCATGGCGAGTTCCACGACGCTCCCGCCACCGCACATTTTGGAGTGAATCGCACGATTGGCCGACTCCGCGAGCGATTTTGGTGGCCCGGCCTTCTCGGCGACGTCACACGCTATTGCGAGTCATGCGAGGTTTGCCGACGCTGCAAATCCCGCAATCATCGTCCGTACGGCGAGTTACAACCACAACCAGTCCCGTTGAGGCGAAGGGAAGCGATTGCCATGGACATTACCGGCCCGTTCCCCAAGCACAAGACCGGAGTGGATGGGATTCTCACGGTGGTCGACCGACTCACCAAGTTCGCCATGTTCTTGCCTTGTCGCTTTCATGCCAAGGCACCGGAGTTGGTCAAGGTTCTTTACTCCGGTTGGATTCGAACCAACGGTTACCCCAAGGAAATCGTCTGCGACCGCGACACTCGGTTCATGTCCGATTTTTGGTTGGCGCTCATCAAGCGATGGGGCTCATCTCTCAAGCCCAGTTMAGCTCGCCACCCTCAGACCGATGGCCAGACGGAGAGGGCGCATCAGACCGCACAGGTTCTCCTTCGCACTCTCATCCGCCCCGACCAGAAACACTGGGTTGAGCGACTGCCAGACGTTGAGTTGGTCTACAACTCTTCCATCCACCCGGCTATTGGGAWATCGCCCTTCGAGTTCGAGCACAACTCGCCGGTCACGTCACCGTTGGACACTATTACTCCACGCACGGCCGAGAGCGACGACCATCTTCTTTTCTTGCGTCGGATGCAAGAGCTTCTTGTCAAGGCACGCGACCTAATGGCTAAGACGCAACAGCGCATGCGCCAACAGGCAAATCACCAGCGTCTTCCTTGTCCATTCCGCACCGGAGACCTCGTCTGGGTTTCAGCAGCGAAATTCATCCTTGAACAAGACGTCTCTCGCAAGCTCCTCTCGAAATGGATGGGGCCTTGGCCGATCATAGAGCCCGCTGGGGACGCACCCGAAGGACCCTCCTTCACGATTCAGGTGCCTAGCCACTTGCCTGTCTACCCAGTCTTTCATTGCTCCAAACTGGCTCTCTACACGCCAGCGGATCATGACGACTTTCCCGGGAGACGGACGCAAGACCCACCTTCTATGGATGGTTTTCAGGAGGTCGGCGACATCATCTCCCAGCGACGCTTTGGCAACAAGCCAACTGAGTATTTGGTGCATTTTGCCTACTGCACATATCGAGCTGACCGTTGGTTAACCCGTGCGGAACTGCAAGCGACAGCTCTAGAAGTTCTCGGACGCTACGAACGCAAGATGCAGGCAAGCTGGTTTCTTCGGCTCCACGCCGCGCCCGCGTCCAGGTTCCACCTTCAGATCGACGGCTTCGCCCTCGCCCCAGCTTGACTTCATAAGGAGGGGGGGGTGTTACATGCAGCGCGTGCACACACGGGCCATTTTGCAGGCCCGACGGCCATTTTGCAGGCCCGACAGCGTTCAGGCCAAAAGCCTGAACTTCAGGCCAAAAGCCTGAATTTCAGGCTGAAAGCCTGAAATCCAGGGCTTACAGGCCCCCTGTCGGTTCAGGCCAAAAGCCTGAAGTCCAGGGCCTATCCCTGG